AGGCAGCGCTAGCAGTATAGCCCTTAGGTGTACGCTAAATCGATGTCTTAACGTATCGAGGTGCTATTAGCGTAGCCGGTGCTACACGGCCCTATATACTATACTTCTTACTAAGCCTATTCAAATAGGCATCTTAAACGACGTAAATAGTGCGCTAGTTGCGGTCGCGAATAATCCGTATGCTAAGATAGTAGTAAAGGTCGCCTAGTTCTCGTATATTAAAGCGGTCCTTTAGCAACTAAGCAACGGCTTCTAGTACTAATAGAGTATAGGCGATAATGATTATATCATCTACGTAGATAACAATAATAGAGCCGCTAACAGTGTATTTAAACACACACACATTAGCTACTATCGGCACGAAGTCTAGGCTCTTTAGGTACTTTCGAAGCTCTTCGTACTATAGCATTAGTAACTGCTTTAGACTATATAGTGCCTTTAGCAATAGACAGACTATATTCTTGCTACTACGGTCTTTAAAGCTATGTAGCTGCTCGACGTAGATCTTATACTTATCTCCGATAAGCGCATTAAGGAAGGCCGTTAGAATATCGTATTGCTTAGCCTCTAGGTCGTAATAAGCAATTAGGCTAAACAGTGCTCGCAACGTAGATAGCTTAGCGACAGCCGCATAGGTTTTATTATAGTCCTGTCCTTCAACCTATATAAAGCTACGGACAACCTATCGAGCCTTAAACCGGCTTACCTTGCTATTAGCGTTACGCTTGATAGTAAACACCTATCGGCTACGGACAACCTTACGACCTCTAGGTACTTCTAGCCGAGAAACGTGTACCTATGTATAGTTGTCTATTAATGACTTGTATTTAGCTTTATAGGCCTCCTTCTATTATAGCTAGTATAGTAACTCTTTTACAGCCTTGAAGCTCTTTAGAATTGGAATAGCCTCCTTATTCGGGTTCTGCTTAGCAACGTAGCAGGCAGCTATAAAGCCCTTTATATAGGCTATAGGCATATTGGCTATATTGCGGCGCGTAGAGCGCTAGACACTAGCATTAGCTAGATAGCTACGCAACAGTTTACGAGCGCTCTTATTGCTTCGTGTCTTACGTATAGAACGACTACTAGTCTCGGTTGGCCGCTCAAACTCCGGCAACTAGCTAGGCTCGCCCTTCTTAGCGTAAGGATCGTACGCTAGTTCTTCCTCGGCTAACTAAAAGCCATCTTTATTACTTAAAGGCGGTTGAATAGCTAGTAGGTTATCGTCGAGCGGCAGCGGACTAGCGACCTTATTAGGCATTTGCTAAGCAGGTTCGTCCGGAGGCTCTTCTTACTAGGCTAGAAGCTGCTAGACTACACTAGCGGCGTCGGCTGGTAACGGAGCCTCGTTGCTTATAGAATTGAATAGAGCCGGCATAATAGACTCGAGTGTAACAAACTCGTTCTTAGCTAGGTCGTTAGGATTGGCGTATAGATTTATGCCCTCTAGAAGCAACAGCTTACTAGCCGTCTTAATAAATTAGACATCCTTTAATAGAATAACCTTATACTAGTTAGGGAGGTAAATTATGTATTTTCCTAAGTCTACTAAGTCCTTAGCATAGCCGACTAGCTTGCTAATAAGGCCTCTGCTATCTATCTTCTTTCTACGAGCAACTCCGTAATTATATATAATAGCAGTATAGCTATAGGCACGAAGATGTTAAAGGCGTAGCTGCTTTCGAGACTAATTAAGCTCCCTAGCTATAATAGCATAGGGGCTAAGACCTTCTAAGGTTCTAGGAGTAATATTAAGGACCTATATAGCAGTAGTAACCGTATACGGCTATAGGGCCTTTAGCAAATTCGCATAGAGCATTATCTTCCGAGCGGTCGTATATACGATATAGTTGCTAACCTTAGCTAGGCTATTCTAAGTAGAAGAATAAGGTGCTGTAACCTGCAGTACAATGCCCTAATTACGAGCCTAGCTTAATAGCTAATTTCCGCCGTATTTACCCCCTCTATCGAGGCGGTAGATTAGGATCGAATAGCTAGTTTGTATACGGACGTATATACGATAATCCTTAATAGCTACTGCAGCCCCTAACTTTAGTAAGCTAGTATATTCGTGTCGATAGCCTAACTTGGCGTATATAAACAGTGTGAAATAGCGCTCCTACAATAGACTAGGGTTAGTAATAGTAACTACATCTATACAGACAATGTGATAGATAGTAGATAGTCGTACGCGTAGCAGTCGATTGTATTCCTTATATAATATAGCTATTCGACAGGCAATGCAGTTGCGGAAGTCGGTCTTGCTTCTAGTAATAACAATTTAACCCTTAGCTTCCATTCGTAACAGCTTGCGGTAATGGATATAACTATATCGTAGATGCTACTCTTCTATCGTACCTATTAGTACCCCCTTCTTCGATAGAAGCGCAACAACCTAGCTATCCGGACTAGAGGTTAGTATATGCAGATAGGGGAGACTATTCTTGCGGTATGTCTAAGCAATAGTAACCTTAGAGCCGTCAACAATAGTGAATAGTACTCGCTTGTTATTCCGATAGAAACAGCCCTTATCGGCAAGCTTCTTAGTAGATAGAAGGTTGGCTACTAGACCTAGAACATACAGTATATTAGACAGCTTTATGCTGCTTATACTACGCTTATTAACAACCTTAGTCTAAGCTATACCAACTATCGTAGCGTACTTCGTGTTGCTACCAAACCGGACAGGAATGTAATAGCCTTCGTATTTAATAAGCAATAAAGGGTTATTAACTATGTATATGCTAGTACCTAAGTCGACAACCTAATTAGTAGTGCGAGTCGCTGCAGTAAGTGCTATAGAAGCTGCGTTACTAACAGTAATCGCATTAAAGGCGTAGTTGCTGCTTAGGTCTAATAACACCCCTAGGGTAGCATTAGCCGCATACAGCCCCTAAGCACCGTTCTAACTAGATAGCGGCTACTACTAAGCAGTTAGTCTACGCTGCTGCTGTTGTTGCACCCCCTTCTTCTTAGCCTTCTACTATTTACGACGTAGTCGGTCTTCCTCCTTTAAGTAAGGGTACTTAGTATAGTAGCGGTTAGAAGGGTATAACCCCTAACAATAGGCGCACTTCTTACGGTTAGACTAATAACTATTCTAGTTGCTTCTACCGCGGCTACGACTATTGTTGCTATTTCCGCGGCTACTACGACCGCTACGGTTCGAGTTACCTCGACCGTTATTATTGCTATTGCTACCTTGCTATTGTAGTTAGCGCTAAAGACTAAAGAAGCTATTGTATTAGGCCTAGTTTAATTAAGCTACATTCTTATTAAGCAACGCGCTAATAATGTTGTTAAGTGTGTTATCGTTAATAGTATATTCGGAGGCGCGCATCTGCTTACGGCGCATCTATACGAATGCCTCGTAGAATAGTGCGATCTGTATAATAAACATATAGACAGCCTAGTATTAGCTAATAGCCAATTTAGTATCCTTTAAGGCACTAAGCTTCTTCTTATACTTATTATAGAACTTCTCAATGTCCTTACTATTATATCGAAGGGTAATATATTCCTAGTAGAGTATAAATTCAGTAGACCTACTTTTACTAGTATATTTCTTCTTAAGGAAGTCCTATACTTCCTAGGATATAGATAGACTAAGCAGTAATTGTTAAATATTACTAATATAATTAGCGAAGATCCAGGTCCGCGCCGTTTGATCTTTAGAGTCCTATTTATCTTAACGGTCCTTAAATTCTTTAGAAGTCTTACTAGAGGCCTTAGAAAGGGGTCGCTAGCGGGTACCTTATATATAGCGCTAGACCGATATACCTTTAAGGGCGCCTTTAGCGGCGTACGACTATAATAGGTAATTCTCCTTGTTCTTTAGCTTAGGAATATTGCTTATATAAGCGCTAGACGTTGTAGGGGGAGCTATTGCGGACAGCGACGGCGATATAGAAACTATAGACTTTATCTTAAGGGGCGGCCGATAGGCGCGCCTGTATTCTAGTATAGCGGACAGCTAATACTAATGTTAGAAACCGGTGTAGCGGACAGCCAACACTAACAGTAGCCGACTCGAGTCTAGCACCTGCTAGAATACTCGAGGGCGGCGAGAGTAGCGGCGACGATAATAGTATCGGCGCAATTTTTAGTAACGAGCGCTATCTACGTAGCAGTCGGAGTGACTATTAGAATACGTAGTAAACGTATTGTACGCGTTGGAAACGCAGGGGGCTCATAACCACTTAATGTAAACTGTGATGTATTCAGAAGAGGGCTAATCTACAGGAAGCCCGAAAGATGAAGTGCGCAGTTTCAGCCTCAGGCATTATGCACGTGATACCACACACACCACACACTTCAAGTGAGATGGACTTGCTGTGTGATTTGTCGGAGTCCATCCTCATTTGATGCACGCCTATGGGGCAGAGATCGAAGAGACCTTTCGGAGTTTTCAGGCTGCATCGCGCATATCGTTGTTTTTCTCGGCATGGGAGGTTTCTAAGATTGGAAATAGATGGAAACCGGCGCTTCAACTGATTGGAGCGATGCATGATTGCTTGTTTGCTTTGGCGTTTTTGTAACCGTGTCTCGTCAGACACATGGAAAGGGAGGGAATATTGGCTGGCAACTGGCTCACCCCCAGTAATAGGCTGCGAGGGCCATGAGAGCCTCCTAGTGCAGAATAGATACCATCAACCTCGTACAACACACTGCCTGTGTCACGCTTAAATAGTGCCTCTGCCTGCTGCCTCTGAGTCTACGGTTCTATCTGCCCATAATGGCTGCCCATACTCAGATGGGTCATGCTACCTGCGGTGGCCAGTAGATGAGGTGTACTCAGTCGCGGATGATGTGGATCTCTCTGCAGTCACCCGTTCCTTCGCCGTCGTGCATAGCATCTACATCGATGTCGCCATTGGCAACTATGGCCATAACATGCCGGCCATGTTCGATGATGGAGCTGAGTCTCTTATCATGAGCCATTATACAGCAAAGATCCTGAAGCTGTAAGCAAGGCACCGGCTTCGTAGACTGTAACAAACATGGCGTTCTTGGCTCGTGTCGGAGATATTAGGCGGGTGTATGATGTTTCCCAGCTGAATATTGAGGTATTGAAGCGCGGTACATACCTCAAACCCAATGGAAATTGGTCGATAGTCGCAGCTTCTTCGTAGAAAGGCCTCGGACAAAGGACGTCGAGCACAAAGCAATCTGCAGCGTAGCAAGCATTGTTTCCCATCCAGACGTATATCCTTCCACGTCGTCTAGTCCCAGATAGATCCCCGTGTGCGTGTCGCCTTATCAATATACGTTCAGAATGAAATGGTATATACCCGCTATTGCGACGACATTGACAGCGAACGCAGTTCCCGTCGGTGCGTGAGATGAATGCAGCGCATATACGACCATCGAATGCTTGTCAACATCTTGATTAAGCATTCTTTCACATGGAAAGGATCTCGGCGTTTATATGCTTGTCTCTCTCACATGGATAGGATCTCGGTGACTCAATCTTGTGACAGCGGCCCGTGCACGCTAGAGCCACTAGCGTGATTAAATCGCGATTGCCGACCACAAAACCCTTTTCTCGACTTCAACTACCTGAACAACTTTAAAAACACCAGCGCTTCCGACTACAAAACCCTTCCCTCAACTTCAACCAACTGAACAACTCCAACAGCACCAGCGCATCATGGCAGCAACTACACAGCCTATATCGGCCGCGACTCGAGTCTTCACAACACCCGAACTCCTCGAAGCCATCCTCCTCGAAGTCCAAGCAATAGAATGCCCCCGATCGTGGGAATCTCTCAAAGACTGGTTCACCCCGACGTGGCAAGCAAGAGATGTCCTTCTGTCTCAGCGAGTCAGCAGAGCCTTCCGATCCTGCATTTCGGGCTCACCGGAGATCCAGCGCCGTCTCGGTTTCAGACCGGAAAGAATTCAAGATGATAAGCGCGGAGAAACGAAGCAGAACGGCCGAGTTTGGGCATTTGATCGATTCGTATGGCAGTTTGAAGGGAATGCAAGAGTACATCTCTGCAAGAAGAGTTTCTCCGACGAAGTTCCATACCCAATGATCTGGTTCGAGAGGCCACGCTACCCACACGTCCTCGAAGGTGCACCAAAAGACAGCCCGGCTTCGTTTCTCAAGATGTACCCTCAGCGCCCGGCACGAGAATGCATTGTTGTTCGAATTTCGAAGTGGGACATGTGGATGATTAGGCGAGCGGGGATTGAGTTGTTCTGTTGGAGTGCCCAAGTCACTGTCAAGTTGCAGCCACTCGGAGGGTTATTCGATCTGGCAGCGAGCTTACAGAAAGCCGCTGATGGGATTGAGCGGGTTGAGGAGGCAGGAAATTGGTGGCAGCGGAATGAGGAGGTTGCTAGAGACTTTGGCATGCCGGAGCCGAGCGAGGTGTTCGATTGGAGGGAATTCTTCACGACGGCGCAGATGGAGTTGATGGTTGGCGAGCCGCGATTTGACGTTCATTGAGTCGAGCTGCGAGGCGAAGGGCCGTGCGTGATCTGGAGGGCGAGAGATGTTGCAAGGAGAGATTTGGGATCGACGACGAGACTGTTTTGGATGCCAAATGAGGTCGGTGGTCGATGGTACCCAGGATATCAGAACTCGGGAAATCTTCAAGCCGGTCGCAGTCTCGAATAGATACTCAGCCTTCGGGGAGGGATGCCAGAAGAGGCCTGCTGTGGTGATCATTACATTACGTCGTTACATTCATGCTAATGCAATGCTGATGCTGAAACCCAAAATTATGTCTTCATGTTCAACGCTCCTTTCTCTACCCCCTTCATACCCGCCACATTGACTGTACAAGACTTATCCAGACTTGCAGAAGAACGCAGCGTCTGCACGTTGTTCCGGCTTGGCAATGATGCCGTGAGCCACATCGGTACCCTCGGCAGTACAGTTCTCCTAGATGTACTGCGGGAGCAAGTCGATATCTGCACAGCTGGCGGGAGCGGGATAGGCGGACGTTGGATAGTACTTGAAGCGGAAGAAAAGTTGCGGGACACCGTGCCACCAGTCGCAGACTATATCCGTGTATTAGTGTTTGTTTGCTACAATGAAACTTCGAAGAAGCACTCACCCAGCCATCCACCAAAGGCATCGCTGGAGCTCCCGGGACTCTTCGGGTCACTGGTCCATTGCAGGCCGGTGCTGTTGATGAAGAAGCCGGAAACGACGGTGTCAGAGCCCTGAACGCCAGCATTCATCTCGACTGGTTGCCAAGCAGCGTAGAAACTCTCACTCTCAACGATCACGAGGCCCCAGGCAAAGGTCGTGCCCAGGTCGAAAAGTTGGTTGTAATACGTGCGATCGCCACTTGTCACATTTGTGGCGTTCAGGAAGCCTTTGCTTGCCGCAGCTCGTGTTTCGTCGAAGACGACATCGTTGAGACCGGCACCGGTGTGGTATGATGACAGCCAGAGATTGTCGTAGCGTGACTTTCCAGACTGGCCTGATTTGAGACAAGTCTTGAGCTGGTATTCTCGGGTTGTGTTCAGAGCGGCAGTGGCAAGGCCTGCAAGTGCCAGAAGGGAAGTGAAGAGCTTCATGGTGGTTCCTGTATTTTGGGTCTGATGCCGCGGTGCGGTCTGGATCCGCAATGTCTTGAGTGAGGTACCTGTTTGCGAGATGCAAGATCTGAGGTGTGAATATGCTGCAGCAAGGCGCTTTCTCGGGCACTATATACTGGTTCTCTGCGGATGGAAACAGCAATCCGGTGCCGTCATCCGGTTACACCTACCACTACGCTGGAATGTGTCTTCTTTGCGCTGAGCCGTAAACTCGGTACGTTGCACGATCTAGCAGGTAGCTCGAACTTATAGGCTAATAATGAGGCAAGCAATGTTCCATCAAAAGACCGAGTCTGGGCTTGGTTGGAGGTGAAGCTGTGCGATGGCGTACATGTGCAAGGGCAAATGCTTGACGCAGCTTGAGGAAGAGCAATCTTCCACCTCTTTCCAGCTTAGCCCGGCTCGTATTCCCACTGCGCGTGATCCTTTAGTCTTGCCCATTCGTGCGAAACTTCAATGAATCCTTTGAGAAAATACGAAGCGCTGTATACCTCAGCTGCAGATCGTTCGTTCAAAGGTCTCTTCATCAGATCAGAAGTGGTAAGCAGATGAGGTCAGAAAGTGGAGTCAGAGGAGTAGTTCTAGCAGGGACCCTTGGAGCCTTTGCCGCGCATGGACTGCAGTGGGAGCCTTGCTCAATTGCACTCTGCAGTCGGCCAGGATTTCCGAACTACGGAGTGCAGTGTCAATACCTTTCGTGCTTCACCATTATTGACACCCCAAAAAGACAGCAGACACGAGGGACCAGCTATGACGGCTCACGACTTTGGACAGATCGGCGACCGGATGACTTTGAGTTGACGCTTCGAGATCAGGAACAGGAAAGCCGAAGATGTATTTGGTTCATGATGTCTTTGGACTGCTGCACGCCTGAAGACCGTTATCAAACCCATTCTTACCACAGCTGCATTTGAGTCTTCTCCTTCTTCGGACACGCCAAAGAACTCAGCATTCAATTCTCAAATTCTTAAACTCCACAGTGAGGTTCTGAGCGGGCTTCCCATTTGTGTAGGTTGGCTTCGCTACATAGACTCCAACCCACATATTGGCATTCTTCTTGCCTCGATCTTCTAAGAAGGCCTGTCGGGAAGATCACTCGTTAGCAAGTGCAGCGGAAAGCCAATGAATTTCTGATTCGGTGACCTACCCAAGTCACTTCCCGCAATGGATACCTCTCGTTTTTAACAACGTTATACGCCCACATCTCTGTAGTATTTCGCTCTACCAGAAAACTCGAAGTCGTCGTCTTCTTGGGTACAACAGGACTCAAGCTCCAGTCCGAGAAAGCATAAGTAGCCACGGTGCCGAGCTGAGGAGCTCCATTCTCGAACTCGATCCCAGTCTTGAGCCATTTCCAAGGCTTCTTACCAGGCCAGACGATGGCAATGCCGCCTTGATCGTATCGAGTCTTCCAGTTGGCACTGATTGTGACAGAAATCCGCCGGAATTCCGACGTCTTGCACACGCGGTAGACGTAGGGTGCTGTGAAGTTGTCTGCGGTCACGTTCGGTCTCCAGATATCTGTGGCTGGCGGTGCTGTCACGGTGAAGGACTTCTCGCCGGTGTGTTTGATTGTTGGGTTGTTTAGTCGTTTCCAGGGGGAGGTTTGCGCGGCAGATGCAGGGAGAGAGAAAGCGGCTGTTGTCAGGAGAATGGAATACAGGAGATGCAACATACTTGCTTCGTCTACCAGGGACTTCGATATCCTGCTTCGTTTCTCGAGACAATTGATTGTATGTGAAGGAGTAAGCAAGGAAAGCGGTGTGGTGGTACGAAGCGGAGAGGCCAAGGATACCTGTTCTACATACCGTACTTGTTGCCGACGGGACGACTCTTGCCGCCGACAGTAGTCGCTTGCCATGCAAAAAGGCGACGCAGCCATCCTGATGATTCTACCGATGAAATACATGCAAAAGGAGATGGTGTCGGACGATCGAAAGGAGTGAGAGGATAGGTCTGATGACGTATTGCTTAGTCACCCTTAAAATCCCGTTTGCACTTTGATGGATCATCGCCAAAGTTTTGTTGGACTGCTTCAATTCTTTCTTTCCCCTACACAACACCTCCTTTCGATATGGGCAGACTGCAGCAGGAGCTGGATGTAGCATGTGCTGCGGTCCAGCACTGTGCAGGCTTGACCAAGGACATCCAGAAGAATACCGTCGGACAGCATGGTCAAATCGCAAAGTCCGACTTCTCACCCGTGACTGTAGGCGACTTCGCCAGCCAAGCCTTGCTCACAGCCGCCATACATGGAGTATTCAAGGACGACAAGTTCCTTGGAGAAGAGTCTGCGGATCAACTACGCCAAAGCCCCCAACTCTTGGAGCAAATATGGCAATTGTGCGAGAAGGCTAAGCCGGCCTTCTCTGCCAGCGATCTTGCTACTCCCGTTTCAAAAGAAGAACTACTTGACTTGATTGACTTGGGCGGTAAGAATGAGAGCAGTAGCAATGGACGAACGTGGGTCTTCGATCCTATCGATGGCACAGCTACCTTCCTCAAAGGACAGCAGTATGCCATCAATTGTGCATTTCTCATCGATGGCAAAGAAGAAATCGGCATTATCGGCTGCCCGAATGTTATTGCCAGCTCCGACACCATCACGGAAACCGAGATCGACAAAGATGGTCTTGGTGTCATGATTTATGCAATCAGAGGCGAAGGAGCATGGGTACGACCGATGCGAAGCGATGGGCAGCTGGCGCCGGCTACCAAGCTTGAACGCCACGGAGACACTGCAAAGTCTGACAGCCTGATCTGGTCTGACTGCAGTACATACACATCTACCATTTCGCTTCTACATCAAAAGCTTGCCGATGAGATCAATACATCATGGCCTGGTACTGACCTGTTTTCGTCTCTGATGAAGTATGCTGCGCTAGGGCTTGGTCGAAGCCATGTTGTGATCAGGATCTTTCGATACGGTAGCTGGAGAAGCAATATGTGGGACCACGCTGGAGGTGTCTTGATCTTTGAAGAGGTGGGCGGGAAGGTCACAGATCTGGAAGGAAAGCCAATCGATTTCACTACCGGTAGAAAGATGGCAAAGAGTGAGCATTGCTAGACAAATCGACTCGTGTGCAGAGACTGACAACTTGCAGATCATGGTCTGGTCTGTGCTCCCTCGAGTGTGCATGCTGATCTGCTGAAGCTGGTACAACGGATAATCAAGGACTACGAGCAATCCAATGGTCCTATTCCGTGGGCAAAATGATAGAGCTCCATGCTACCGCCCACCATTCACGATACGACAGTCTCCGAGAGCTAAGACGAAAGCTTCGCCGATTTCACAAATGATAGATCGTACGCAATCTGACCGATGATAAATTGTACGCAACCTGGATCGTTGGCCGACACCATGAATATGTGGCGGACGATATTGTCCTACAAACCATTACTGTCTACAAGGCAAGGAAGAAGCTGTATACCCACGATTCAGCAGCAATTCTATGTTGATGAGACTCCCGTGCGAGGCGTTCAGATACACTTCATTGACTTGGACAAGCGTCAAGTCACTAAAATAATCTGGGAATTTAATAACGCTGCTGCTTGTTATGCCATTTGCAAAGCCGGCAGTCCAGCTTGTCCTCTGCAATTCAACTTTACCACCGGCAACGATGGGCCCGCTCACGAGACTGCGAACCGTCAGGGACTCAAACGCATCGAGTGAAGCCTACCCTGATACAATTAAAAGAGAAAGAAGAGCGGAACCAGATGCACCATGCACTGCTCTCGAAGGTAGTCTTGTACAATATAGCCGGTTAATTCCTGGCCTTTCTAATTCATCAACTGGTCATTCCCTAAACTCCACAGAAACCCGCCCACCACACATCAACTGTTCTTCTCAATGAACTCAGCATATTCAGGATCCTGAATCTCTACATCCAAATCGCCTTCGCCTTGCGGTTGTTCATACAGCTTCCATGCCTCTTCCGCGATATGCCGAGCTGTAGTAACCTTCGCATCATCTTTGACTTCACCCTCAACAACGATCGCCGCAACATGGACATTCTTCGGCTTGTACTCCTTGTATAACGAATGAACAAGGTTATACTGCGCGGCCTTGACATTGGCCAGACTGAAAAACGCCGGAAAAGGATCTTTGTGTAGTCCACCACTCGTCACCAAAAGTGTAGGTTTCGACTCCGGATCTTTCGCAGCAATCTTCTCAAGCTGTGGCAATGCCCATCCGGCGACCATATACAAGCTCACAACAGCAATCTAACCCGTGAAATGTCAGCCCAATGCAACGAACACATCTTTCGAATCATCTCCCATCTCACCCGATAATCCGTCTCCATATCCACGGCGGAAAACTCAAAAACTTGACTCTTCCCCACCCTCGCCGCATTGTACAACACAGCCTCCAATCTATACCTCGCCAACAACATATCCAAATTCGTCAACGTCTCCCTCACTTTCCCCATATCCGCAAGATCAATCGGTAATCCATCGACACTAGGTTTCACCTCCTTCGCCTCAGCCGCTGCTTGCACGAACTTCACATCTTCGGATAAGCGCGCTTTGTCGCGAGATAACAGGATGATCTTGGAGAAGCCGCCTTCGGCGAAGACGGCGGCGACGTTGCGGCCGATTCCTGGGCCCGAGCCGAAGACCACGAGGGCTTTTTTCACTTCGGCCATGTTGGGAGGGATGGGGGAGATTGGAGTTGTGATATTATGCAAAGGGGACAAGGAATGGAGGGTGGGTGGTACTGTAGTAGCAGTGTGGTTGTTCTGGGACCTGCATAGAATATGTGTGGGGGACCGCGGTGACGTAGTGAGGATTGAGTTTGAGACGAGTCAGAGGTATACCATGAGTCGAGTCGTGGTCTAGATGCCCGATGGAGTGACGATGGCATTGTACGTTGAGGGAGTGAGAGGGTGGAATAATGAGACTGAACTCGCCGGAGTGCATTCAGTTCACGGAGTCTACGTACGACTCATACTGGCACACAGAGATTCAGTCGACGTCCTGTCCTACCACAACACCTGCTTGGGTGCTCTCTTGCTCTGGCCTGTTGCTATTTCCTGGCTCTGACTTCCAGGTACAATGATGCAGCCTGCGCATCGCTACACCACACGCACGAGAGTGGCATTGATCTGAAGTACAGCTCCAAGAGTTTCGTGCCGCCATGCTCTTTTCATGAACTCTCAGGCGCATACCTCCACCCAGTACTTTCATGCTCTTTCTCCCAGGCCTACTGACTCGAAATCCAACGCACAGGCTCGGTGCGCTGCTCAAAGATGCTGCTCGTGAACGCAATTGGCGGCTGGCAGGAATGGTCTCGCGCAATACGCCTTGGGAAGTCGTCCTCGAGGATTCGTCCGGTGTGACATATGGTGGGATGATCCCTGAGCAGTGGGCATGGCGCATTCCATGCGATATCTGGAAGATACAGCATCGTTGTTGTTGTTGTCAACACGCATGGATCAGAAACTGGTCTCCGTGCTTCGGCATTGCCCTATCCAGCATACCGACATCATCAATGCTAGACACTGTCTTCATTCCCCGATCTTCTAAAAGTCATCTCAAAGTTTCTCGAACGTCGGCTTAGTCTTCCTGATCCCACTCATCATCGCTTTCTTCACATCCTCCGACTGCACCATAGCAGCATTCCAAGCCGCAGTATATTTAAGCCCATCCTCAACCGGTCTATCCCGACTAAAGTCCAACAAAGCCTTGGAGCTCTGAACAGCAACAGGACTCTTCGTCGCAATGAAGTGAGCAAGCTCCAGACCCTTCTCCAAAAGCTGTTCTTTGCTCTCGACAACCCGCGACACCAACCCGACCTTTTCAGCCTCTTCAGCGCCGAACTCTCGAGCCGTGTAGACGACCTCTTTCGCCCAGGAATACGAAACCCCGATTTTCGGCAGTCTTGAAAGAGTGCCGACATCTGCTGCTAACCCGACGTCGACTTCTTTGATTGAGAATCGCACGCCTTGGGCGCAGTATCGAATATCAGCGGCGACAGCGAGATCGATGGCGGCGCCAAAGGTCACTCCGTGGGCGAGAAATATGACCGCTTGACACACACTGTCAGTGCATGCTCGTTCATTTCGGAGGCGTAGACGTACGCTTTTCGCATCGCTCGATCGCATTCATGCCATTCTGATAATCATACATATGTCTTCGGACTTTCCATGTCCGGCGAGCGATGTCACTCGTCTTTGATGATTGCGATACTGGGCCGCCAGATGATGCTGTTTTGACCTAGAGGATAAATCAGCATCACATGTATTACTATTCTTATGTTTTACGTGAGATCTTACATCCAGTCCTGCCGAGAAATGCGGACCAACGCCAGATATCAAGATCACTCGGACATTCTCGTCGATACTGAGCTTATCGAATACTAATGCTAAACTATGGAAGACGCTGTACACAACAGTCAGGAGAGGATGTATATCGACTTCAAACCTCCGTGCACTTACTCTGGGCTGAAGGAATTGTATTGCTTGGGTCTATTGAGTTGGACGTGCGCTACGAATGCGGACGGAAATGTTGTGAGAAGGTCTGGAAATTGGTAGTCTTGCTCACGAGACATCTTGTGGTGATGATTGTCTTTCGATGATCAGAGGTGTTGCTGGTGAGTACAAAGGGTGGTGGCACTCCGCTCGGTTGCGACCTCCATTAATATTACCGAGGCGAAGATCGTTCACTCCACTTTGATTACGGCCCTTCAATATGCAAGCAAATCTATGCTTCATGTCGAGTTGCCCGAGTCGCTTCTTGTCGAGCATTGTTCGTCAACAACTAGGATTCTTTCCACCTAGTCAAGCGAATGGACCGCGGCTTGCAGGGCTCCGTATTCTGCTGTTTGCTAGCAGCTTCCCACTCGATTTGAATCGTTGCCACTCCTCTATCCTGAGGCGCCAGATCACCATTTTGGGCACAATCCTACTCTTCGTTAACCTTCTCTTCGGCCTTCTTCACAAGAGCTGTCACATAGTCTGCGACGACCAGCGTGATCATAGTGTGTGGAGCAATTCGGACGAAATACGTGCCAAACCCGCGGTAAAAGCGCAACAGACCTTCCGTCTGTGCAACCTTGACCGCACAATCGAAGACACCTTTGTAAGCAGATCCGCCCCTCTGTAACCGTGTCTTGACAAAATCGAAAGGGAGACTGAAAAACGCTGTAAAGAATCCGGCGATGGCTGATGCGCCGAGGCTGACCTTTCGATCAGAGAGCGATGTCCGCTTTTTCAGCTGCGCCTTCGATTCCGAAAAGAATGCCAGTTGACCAAAGTTCGTCGACATAGCTCTGATGGTTGTGGGATAGGATCCCTGCCATAAAGCGAAGACACCTTCATTCCTAGCAATCCGAACAAGCGCATCAACTACCGACTTGTAGTTGGCCCGTTCTGCTTTCGGCTTCATGCCATCGCTCTGGAGTCGAATGAGAGCTACCTCAGCTGGGTTGGCGATGGCAGCGGCGAGACCTCCAGCACTCAAAGAGGCAGCTGCTCGTTCACGGAAGCCGATTGTAGTCCCCTTCGCTTCGGCTCTGACGACAAAGAAGGTTTGGAATCGATCGAAGAATCCAAGTCGCATGGTAGCATAAGTCGCCTGTCGCAAGAGGCCTGCGGATAATCCATCGTACAGGTCGAGAAATCTTCCATCGCGAATGATTTGCCTCGCCACTGCGAACGGTGTTTGGCCTTTCCCTGCACTGCCCTCCCCAAGCAGTTGTAATCGTACCTGATGCCGGAGATGAGTATGGACTTCAATCAGGACGGGGGTCGTTTTCTATGATACCGACCTTGACCATATCAGCTGGCTGAATGCAACATGTAGCTATCATTCCTGAGCCTCCGCCAATTACGAATGGCTGTAGTTGAGTCCATATTTTCCCCAATGTAGACTTTGGGGCTTCCTGAGCTTTTACGACCTGCGTCCCTGAGGACTCAGCCTCGTTTGAGCCTGCTTTTGACATTGAAGGGTAGACATCCTGCAGCTGCCATTTTGCCTATATCAGACAGGCACTGACAAAGGATTGAGTTCGATGTGTAGCCGAGGGATGAGAGTCCAGAGTGAAGTTGGCGGCATCGGCGCAGTAGCGGGGTGCAGGGCAGAATGGAGGAGGCTGGGTAGAAACCGGGGTAGTAGATCCTTTATAACCGATTGTTTCCGGGTCGTCCTTTCTCCTACACCATCAATGTTCATTGTCAAGCAACGACACAATTATTACTTGGCTTGATCGCAAGACGTGAAAGGCGGAATCCAATCACTGCCGATGTGAGGTCAGCTAGTTGCACATTTATCGATATCATTAATTTGTCGACCATTACATTCCCAGCAGCAAATGATTGATCGCCATAGATCTCAATTGGCGACTGTGATACCTCGTGAAACATCGTGATCGAAGTCATTCCTTAGTCACTGCTCTAGAGCTGCAGAGGCTCCGTGAGTGTTACATCCAGTCTCTCCCATCATGGCTTCGGTGATAAAAAATCTCGTAAGTCAACTGTACGCAATGAGAACGAAGCTCATTTATCGCAGAGACGAGCTCCTCGTAGCGGCATCGGATTCTCGACATCAAGGCAATCCAACATTTCATCAAGTCGGCCAGCCTTCTCAGGAACACGAAGATCCATCCACGCCCCAGCCACCGAATTCCTCCAATCCTACAACGTAGACTGGACAGAATCCCAACAAACAGTGCGCTCAGCAATCTCCAAAATCGCATCAAAATACGACGACGAATACTGGAAAGATCTGGACATCAACCACAAATTCTCTTTAGACCTCCACAGCGACCTGGCGCGGAACGGATGGCTAGGAATCTGCATGCCGGAAGAGTACGGCGGCTCGGCATTGGGAATCTCAGAGGCAGCGGTAATGATGCAAACGCTTTCCGAATCCGGAGGAGGTATGGCGGCGGCGTCGTCGGTCCATATGAATATATTCGGTCTGGAACCGGTGGTGAAGTTTGCGACCGAGGAGCAGAAGAAGAGGTGGTTAATCCCACTGATCGCGGGAGAGGAGAGGGCGTGTTTTGGCGTCACGGAACCGAACACGGGACTGGATACGCTGAAGCTGCAATCTCTCGCGATCAAGAATTCCGAGGGGAAGTTTTATTCCGTGAGTGGATCGAAGATTTGGACGTCGACGGCGCAGACTGCGCAGAAGATTTTGCTTCTGGTACGGACGACTCCGCTCGAGGAAGTTAAGAAGCCGACGCAAGGGCTTTCGCTGTTTTATACGGATTTGGATCGTTCGGTGGTTCAGGTGACGGAGATTGAAAAGATGGGACGAGCTGCGGTGGATAGTAATGTGATTTTCTTCGAAGACTGGCAGGTGCCGGCTGAAGATCTGATCGGTGAAGAGGGGGAAGGGTTCAAGTTGATTATGCACGGGATGAATGCCGAACGGATCCTGATCGGAGCAGAAGCGCTGGGTCTGGGATTCGTGGCTCTTCGAAAGGCTGCTTTGTACGCCAAGGATCGCGTAGTATTTGGTCGTCCGATAGGGAAGAACCAGGGGATACAACATCCTTTGGCCGATTCGTGGATGAAGGTTGAAGCTGCCAGATTGATGGTCTACCAAGCGGCGCGGATGTATGATGCTGGACATAGTACTGGGGAATATGCCAATGCATGCAAGTATTTGGCAGCCGATGCTTCATACGAAGCTGCAGAGAGAGCGGTCTTGACACATGGAGGAATGGGATATGCTAAGGAGTATCATGTCGAAAGGTACTTTAGAGAGGCAATGCTACCCAGACTAGCACCTGTCAGCAGGGAGATGATACTGAATTACATCGGCGAAAGAGTGCTGGGTCTGCCCAGGTCGTATTAAGCAGAAGCAGTCATCTGATACAGTATCTAGCTTGCATTGACAGCACTTAAAGACCAATCGAATCATCTGTTTTACGAGTCTTGCTTGTGTTGTGCACTTCGCATACGGACGCGAAGAGCTTCAAGCGTTCATGCTGCTTGTGCGTCAGTCTCGATCTTTTGCAAAGGGAAGTGAGTCAAGGACTCACTTTATCAAGATCGTCTTGGGCTCAGTGTAGGCCCGCAATGCGTATTCGCCAAACTCTCTGCCGATGCCGCTCTGTTTGCGGCCTCCAAAGGGTACTTGCATATTCATCTGTAGTCTGTCAGCACGAAAGAACACAGTTCAAGATCATCGATATGCTCACATAGCTGACACAATTGACGCCCACCACGCCACTGTCCAAACCTTTAGCCATGCGCAGCGCACGACCGATATCCTTCGTAAAAACGCCAGACATCAGCCCATACTCGGTGTCGTTAGCCATCTTGAGCACCTCCTCTTCCGTCTCGAAAGTCTTGATGACAGCCACGGGCCCAAAGATCTCGTTCTTGTAAATGTCGGCGTCAGCCCTGGGGTTCAAGAAGAGAGTAGGTTCCATGTAGCAGCCGGTATCGCCATGCTGAACCCCTCCGACTACAAGCTAAGCTTCCTCTTTGCCTCTCTCAACTATAGCCTTCACCTTCTCGAATTGACTCTAATCGACAAGAGGGCCAATTTTGATCGTGTTGTCCTAATAATCGCCGAGATCACTGACAGCGGCTTTCATCTTTTCGCTGTACTTGTCGACGAAAGCTTGCGCGATCGACGACTGTACGTAGACTCGAGTAGCAGCTACACAGACCTGGCCTGATCTTGCCAAGATCGCATTGACAGTCCAAGTCAAAGCATTGTCTAGATTTGCATCATCGAAGACCACCGCCGGCGACTTGCCTCCGAGCTCGAGCGTCACACGTTTGAGATTGCTTTTGGCCGCCGCCTCTTGGATCTTTTTCCCCGTTGGTACGCTGCCAGTGAAACTGATCTTCCGAATCCTCATGTGGCTAGCTAGGAGGGCGCCTGTCTCTCCTGCTCCAGTGATGACTTGTACGACTCCTTTGGGAATTCCTGCTTTCTCAAATAAGGGAGCAAGTGCCAGACTGCCAAGTGGAGTTTTCTCCGAGGGTTTGACGATAATCACGTTGCCGGTTGCGAGGGCTGGAATGCATTTCAAGATCATAGTGGGCACCGGAGCGTTGAATGGATTGACGGCGGCACAGACACCTAGTGGCACTTGAAGAGTGTGTATGGTGTGGTATCACGTGCATGATGCCTCAGGCTGCAACTGCCGCACTTCTTCTTCCGACTTTCTCGTAGATAGTCTCTCTCGAACTAGTGTTTATGTGGCTCGAAGAGCCACAAGTGAAGGCCGAAGAGCTATAAGTAAAGGCTAAGGCGACGAGCGGGGTAGGGTAAGCTAGATTCTGGAAGATTCTACGGTAGCTATTGCCGTACTGCGCTAAGCAACAAGGCGGAAATCGTTACAAATCGCACTTTTTAAATCGCGCGCCTTTCTAACAACAACTTCAGGTATTAGAAAACACTATTTAGAAACGCTTATAGTAAGTACTATTAGAAACGCTTATAGTAAGATAGTCTAAAATATCTAAAGTAACTACTTCCGGAATACGCCTATAGTAATTACTATCCGGAATACCTATAGCGAGTACTATTCGAAATATCTATAGTAGATAGTTCTTTCTAAGTAGGAACGCTTATAGTAAGTACTATCTATAAGGCGTATAGTAAGTCTAATCTAAAACGCCTAAAGTAATTTTAATCTGAAATACTTATAGGAATTCTAATTTAGAATACTTATAATACTAAGTACTATTTAGAACGCGTATAGTAACTCTAATCGGGAGCGCTAATAGTTAGTACTACTATCTATAACGCTTATACTAAGTTTTATTTAGAACACGCTATATAGTAATTCTAATCCGAAACGTATATACTAAGTCCTATCCGGAACGCGTATAGTAAGTACTATCCGGAACGCGTATAGTAAGTACTATCCGGAACGCGTATAGAAAGTCTAATTCGGAACGCTAATAGTAAGTACTATTAAGAACGCTTATAGTAAGTAGTACTATCTAAAATACCTATAGTAAGTACTATTTAGAATACTTATAGCAAGTTATATCCGAAACGGTTATAGTAAATACTACTAAAAACGTTTATAGCGAGTACCCTATATAACGCCTACTACGAGTACCCTATAAAATGCCTATAGCGAGTACTCTATAGAATATCTATAGCGAGTAGTACTATCCGGAACGCGTAGGATAAGCCTTATTTTAAACGCTTAGTATAGTTAGTTCTATATAGACCGGAACGTTTCGAACTGTTTATAGTAAGTACCTTATATAACGCCTACTACGAGTACCTTATAAAACGCCTATAGTAAGCACTCTATAGAATATCTATAGCGAGTAGTACTATCCGGAACGCGTAGGATAAGCCTTATTTTAAACGCTTAGTATAGTTAGTCCTATATAAACCGGAACGCGTATACTAAGTCTAATCTAAAACGCTTATAGAAAATCTTATCCGGAATATATAAAGTAAGTCTAAGTCTAATCTAAAACTAAATACTTATATTAACTACTACGAACTATTTATAGCGAGTACCCTGTATAGCGCCTACTACGAGTACCCTATAAAACGCCTATAGCGAGTACTCTATAGAATATCTATAGCGTACTACTATCTAAAATACCTATAGTAAGTACTATTTAGAGTACTTATAGCAAGTTATATCCGAAACGCTTATAGTAAATACTACTAAAAACGGTTATAGCGAGTAGTAGTATTCGAAACGCTTATAGCGGTTACTATCCGAGATATCTATAGCGAGTAGTACTATCCGGAACGCTTTAGAACGCGCTATATAGCAATTCTAATCCGAAATGCTTATACTAAGTCCTATCTAAAACGCGTATAGTAAGTACTATCCGGAACGCGTATAGTAAGTCTAATTTAGAACGCTAATAGTAAGTACTATCAAGAACGCTTAGGCTTATAGCAAGTAGTACTATCTAAAATACCTATAGTAAGTACTATTTAAAATACTTATAGCAAGTTGTATCCGAAACGCTTATAGTAGATACTACTAAAAATGCTTATAGCGAGTAGCAATATTTGAAACGCTTATAGCGGTAACTATCCGAGATATCTATAGCAAATAGTACTATCCAGAACGCTTATAGCAAGTCTAATCTAAAACGCTTATAGAAAGTCTTATCTTAAATATATAAAGTAAGTCTAAGTGTAATCCGGAACTAAATACTTATATTAAGTACTATCCGGATTCCGGAAGGCTTATAGCGAGTAGTACTATCTGGAACGCTTATAGTAAATACTATCTAAAGTGCCTATAGTAAATAGTATTCGAACTGTTTATAGCGATTACCCTATAAAACGCCTATAGCGAGTACTCTATAGAATATCTATAGCGTACTGCTGTCTACAACGCCTATACTAAGTTTTATTTAGAACGCGCTATATAGTAATTCTAATCTAAAACGCTTATAGAAACTCTTTCCCGGAATATATAAAGTAAGTCTAAGTCTAATCCGAAACTAAATGCTTTTATTAAGTACTATCCGGAAGGCTTATAGCGAGTAGTACTATCCGGAACGCTTATAGTAAATACTATCTAAAACGCCTATAGTTAAATAGTATTCGCACTATTTATAGCAAGTACCTTATATAACGCCTCCTACGAGTACCCTATTAAACGCCTATAGCGAGTACCCTATAGAATATCTATAGCGAGTAGTACTATCCGGAACGCTTATAGTAAATACTATCGAAAACGCCTATATTCGAACTACCTATAGCGAGTAACCTATATAACCTCTACTACGAGTATCTTATAAAACGCCTATAGTAAGCACTCTATAGAATATCTATAGCGAGTAGTACTATCCGGAACGTATAGGACCCTATAAAACGCCTATAGCGTACTACTATTTATAGCCTATACTAATTTTTTAATTTTATTTAGAACGCGCTATATAGTAATTCTAATCCGAAACGCTTGTACTAAGTCTTATCCGAAACGCGTATAGTAAGTCTAATTCGGAACGCTAATAGTAAGTACTATTAAGAACGCTTATAGCAAGTATGTACTAAGTCTTATCCGGAACGCGTATAGTAAGTCTAACTCGGAACGCTAATAGTAAGTACTATTAAGAACGCTTATAGCAAGTAGTACTATCTAAAATACTAATAGTAAGCACTATTTAGAATACTTATAGCAAGTTATATCCGAAACGCTTATAGTAAATACTACTAAAAACGCTTATAGCGAGTAGCAATATTTGAAACGCTTATAGCGGTAACTATCCGAGGTATCTATAGCAAATAGTACTATCCGGAACGCTTATAGTAAACACTATCTAAAACGCCTATATTCGAACTACTTATAGCGAGTACCCTATATAACGCCTACTACGAGTACCTTATAAAACGCCTATAGCGAGTACTCTATAGAATACCTATAGCGAGCAGTACTACCCGGAACGCGTAGGATAAGCCTTATTTTAAACGCTTAGTATAGTTAGTCCTATATAAACCGGAACGTATATAGCAAGTCTTATCCGAAACTAAATACCTATATTAAGTACTATCCGGAAGGCTTATAGCGAGTAGTACTATCCGGAACGCTTATAGTAAATACTATCTAAAACGCCTATAGTAAATAGTATTCGAACTACCTATAGCGAGTACCCTATATAACGCCTACTACGAGTATCCTATAGGACGCCTATAGCGAGTACTCTATAGAATATCTATAATACTAAGAATAAGTCTAATTTAGAACGCTTACAATACTAAGTACTATTCGGAACGTATATAGTAAGTCTAATCCGGAGCGCTAATAGTTAGTACTACTATCTATAACGCTTATACTAAGTTTTATTTAAAACGCGCTATATAGTAATTCTAATCTAAACGCTTATACTAAGTCTTATCCGGAACGCGTATAGTAAGTCTAACTCGGAACGCTAACAGTAAGTACTATTAAGAACGCTTATAGTAAGTAGTACTATCTAAAATACCTATAATAAGTACTATTTAGAACACTTATAGTAAGCTATATCCGATACGCTTAGCCTTACGAGTATACCGCCTCGAGTAAATATCCCCGGATTAGGCGTAAACGACTATATAGCCTCGAGTAAATACTACCGGATCGGGCGTAAAAGATATATATAGTATCGGAAATACTACTACTATAGCGGCGAAGCCTTACGATACGTACTACGACTACTATATCCTCCGAACCGGTCGCGAACTAAGGAGTTTTAACGTTCCTCGGATATAGCTAATTAGAGGCGGCTTTTAGATCGTTTTAAGCCGTACTAAGCCTAAAGTAGACCTACGGTTTGTTAAGTTATTATTATATTAGAGATAGCGTAACCGCGCAATACCGCCGCGAGCAAATACCGCCGGATTAGGCCTAAAAGTTAGATATACCCTTCCGGAATACTACTATCGCGGCGGCAACGCGTTATAATATAGACTCTGCGCAATACCGCCGCGAGCAAACACCGCCGGATAAGGTATATACGACGAAGACGCCCTTTTCGAGACTGCTATCGAAGTTATAGCTCGTCGCGGTATATACTACGACGTCTACGCCTTTCCGGATCGTAGAGGTATTAACGTTCCTTACGTCTACTAATTAGAGGCCGCGGTTAGCCCATTTTGAGCCGCACTAAGCCTAAAGGGGCCCCAACTTTTGTTAAGTTGTTATATTTTAGACTATCTAAAACGCCTATAGTTACTAAACAGTATTCGAACTACTTATAGCGAGTACCTTATATAACGCCTACTGCGAGTACCTTATAAAACGCCTATAGCGAGTACTCTATAGAATATCTATAGCGAGTAGTACTATCCGAAACGCGTAGGCTAAGCCTTTCGAGCATACCGCCTCGAGTAAATACCGCCGGATTAGGTATAAACGACCGATATAGCATCGGAAATAATACTATCGTAGCCTTACGATATATACTATAACTCCTACAATCTCCGAACCGCTTACGAACTATATACTACGACTCCTATAATCTCCGAACCGCTCGTAAACTAAGAAATTTTAAAGTTCCTCGGCTATAGCTAAGTAGAGTCGGCTTTTAGCTTATTTTAAGCCGTAGTAAGCCTAAAGGGGCCGTAAGTACCCTATAAAACGCCTATAGCGAGTACTCTATAGAATACCTATAGCGAGTAGTACTATCCGGAACGCGTAGGACAAGCTAACTACTATCTATAACGCCTATAGAAAGTCTGATTTAGAACGTTTATAATAGTAACTTAGTAAGTACTATTCGGAACGCGTATAGCAAGTCTAATCCGGAGCGCTAATAGTTAGTACTACTATCTATAACGCTTATACCAAGTTCTATTTAGAACGCGCTATATAGCAATTCTAATCCGAAACGCCTATACTAAGTCTTATCCGAAACGCGTAGAGTAAGTACTATCCGGAACGCGTATAGTAGGTCTAATTTAGAACGGTAATAGTAAGTACTATTACGAACGCTTATAGTAAGTAGTACTTTCTAAAATACGGTATACCTATAGTAAGTACTATTTAGAATACTTATAGCAAGTTATATCCGAAACGCTTATAGTGAATACTACTAAAAACGCCTATAGCGAGTAGTAATATTCGAAACGCCTATAGCGGTAACTATCTAAGATATCTATAGCGAGTAGTACTATCCGGAACGCGTAGGACAAGCCTTATTTTAAACGCTTAGTATAGTTCGTCCTATATAAACCGGAACGCATATAGCAAGTCTAATAATCTAATCCGAAACGCCTACAGAAAGTCTTGTCCGGAATGTATAAAGTAAGTCTAAGTCTAATCCGAAACTAAATACTTATACGAAGTACTATCCGGAAGGCCTATAGCGAGTAGTACTATCCGGAACGCTTATAGCAAATACTATCTAAAACGCCTATAGTTAAATAGCATTCGAACTATCTATAGCGAGTACCCTATATAACGCCTATAGCGAGTACTCTATAGAATATCTATAGCGAGTAGTACTATCCGGAACGCGTAGGATAAGCTAACTATTATCTATAACGCCTATAATAGGTCTAATTCAGAACGCTTATAATACTAAGTACTATTCAGAACGCGTATAGTAAGTCTAATAACTCTAATCCGGAGCGCTAACAGTTAGTACTACTGTCTATAACGCCTATACTAAGTTTTATTTAGAACGCGCTATATAGCAATTCTAATCCGAAACGCTTATACTAAGTCTTATCCGGAACGCGTATAGTAAGTCTAATTCGGAACGCAAATAGCAAGTACTATTAAGAACGCTTATAGCAAGTAGTACTATCTAAAATACCTATAGTAAGTCCTATTTAGAATACTTATAGCAAGTCTAATCCGAAACGCTTATAGTAAATACTACTAAAAACGCTTATAGCGAGTAGTAATATTCGAAACGCTTATAGCGGTAACTGTCCGAGATAGCTATAGCGAATAGTCCTATCCGAAACGCTTATAGCAAATACTATCTAAAACGCCTATAGTTAAATAGGATTCGAACTATTTATAGCGAGTACCTTATCTAACGCCTACTATAAGTACCCTATAAAACGCCTATAGCGAGTAGTACTATCCGGAACGCGTAGGATAAGCCTTTCGAGCCTACCGCTCCGAGCAAATACCGCCGGATTAGGCGTAAACGATACCGCCTCGAGCAAAAAACGCCGCCGGATTAGGCGTAAACGACGGAGACGGCCTCGGAAACACTACTATCGCGGCGCCGGAGCGTTATAGTCGATACCGCGACTCCTACGCCCTCCGGACCGCTCGAGAATCGAGAAATTTTAAAGTTCCTCGCCGCCGACTAATTAGAGTCGGCTTTTCGGTCGTTTTGAGCCGCACTAAGCCTAAAGGGGCCCCAACTTTTGTTAAGTTGTTATATTATAGATATATTAGTTACATTCAAGTGGTTATAAGCCCTCTGCGTTTCTAACACGCATTCTACGTTCTAATTACAACTCTACCGACTACTACGTAGCTAGTATTGTTACTAGAAAAAATTCGCGCGCCGCCGCTAACACCTTATTATCGCCGCCGTCGCTACTACTCGAGGGTTCTAGCATATACTAGACTCGAGCTTCTTATAATAGTGTTAGCTGTCCGCTATACGAATACAACTTAGGCGCGCCTATCGGCGGCCTCTTAAGACAAGTCTATAGTCTCTTTCTATATTAACATCGCCGTCGCTATCTATAATAGCTCCCTCTACAACTTCTAACGCTTATATAAGCAATATCCCTAAGCTAAAGAATAAGGAGAATTATCTAGCATAGGCCTATGCCGCTAAGGGTGCCCTTAAAGGCATATAGGTATAGCGCTATATCTAAGGGATCCGCCTAAAGCCTAAGTTTAAGTTGTTATCTACTAAAACATAGGAAGAATTTAAAGACCGCTAAGATAAATAGGAGGCAAAGGACTAGTTAGCGCGTACCTAGATCTTTGCTAATTGTGTTAGTAATATTTAACAATTACTACTTAGCCTGTCTATATCCTAGGAAGTATAGGACTTCCTTAAGAAGAAGTATACTAGTAATAGTAGGTCTACTAAGTTTATATTATTCTAGGAATATTCTACCCTCCGGTACGAGGGCAAGGACGTTAAGAAGTTCTACAACGATTATAAGAAGAAGTTAGGTACGTTAAGCAATACTAAATTAAAGATTAGCGACTATTAAGCTATCTACTTCTTTATTATACTAATTAGCCTGTTCTACGAGGCGTTTACGCAGATGCGACGTAAACAAATGCGAGCCGCTAACTTTACGGTTAACGGCAACATACTAGACAATATTATTAGCGCGTTGCTTAACGAGAATGTCGCATAAGTTAACTAGGCTTAGTATAGTAGATACTATAGTCTATAGAAGCCGCAGCAATCGTTGCCTGCTAGCGGTAACAATAGTAGCAATACGCCTCGAAGCGACTTAAACCGTAGCGGCCGTAGTGGCCGTAGAAACAATAACAACGGTCGAGGTCGCGGTAGAAGCAACTAAAACTAATCTAACCGTAGGAAGTGCGCTTGCTATTAAGGCTCGCATCCTTCCGACCGCTATTATAACAAGTACCCTTATCTGGAGGAGGAAGACCGACTGCGCCGTAAGCAGCAAAAGGCTAAGAAGAAGGGAGTATAGTAGCAGTAGCGTAGACTAACTGCTTGGCAACAATTGCTACCTCCGGCAACTCTATAAGGCCTGTTTGCCTATAACAATCCTCGTACGGATACCTCTGTTAGATTAGCGACACTACTTATTCAATGCTGTTACTATTAGTAATATAGCTACAACTGCGCTTACAGCTGCTACTCGTACTACTAATTAGGTCGTAGACTTAGGTACTAGTATATATATAGTTAACGATCTAGCACTTCTTATCGAATACGAAGGTTGTAACGTGCCGGTACGCTTTAGTAGCAATACTAAGCATACTACGTTAATTAGTATAGCCTATACTAAGGTTGTTAATAAGCTTAGTATAAGCACACTGCGGTTGTTAGAGACACTCTATATGCCTAGTCTAGTAGCTAATTTGCTGTCTACTAAGAAGCTTGCCGACAAGGGCTGTTTTTACCGCAATAACAAGCGAGTGTTATTTACATACGATGCTAGAGGCAATAAGATTACTATCGCTTAGACCTACCGTAAGGATAGCCTTCCTTTCCTTTACATACCTACCTCTAGTCCTAATAGCTAGGTTATTGCGTTTCTATTAAAGAAGGGGGTGCTAACAGGCACTATAGAAGAGTAGCATCTACGTCTTAGCTATATCTACTATACTAAGCTGTTACGTCTAGAGGCTAAAGGCTATATTATTATTACTAGCGACAAGAAAGCATTCTATAACTACATTGCCTACCGCATAGCAATAGCTTATAAGGAGTATAGCCGACTGCCTCGAATACGGCTATCTACGATCTACTACATTGTCTATATTGACGTAGTCTGTATTACTAACCCTAGTCTTTGCAAGGAACGCTACTTTACGCTGTTTATATGCGCTAAGTTAGCTTATCGCTACGAATACTCAAGCAGCTTAAAGTTAGGAGCTGTAGTAGCTATTAAGGATTATCGTGTATACGTCCGTATACAGACTAGCTATTTAATCCCTATTTACCGCCTCGATAGAGAGGGTAAGTACGGCGGAAATTAGCTATTAAGCTAGGCTCGCGATTATAGTATTGTACTGCAGGTTACGGCGCCTTATTCTTCGACTTAAAATAGCCTAGCTAAGGTTAGCAATTATATCGTTTGTACTACGGCTCGAAAGATAATATTGCATACTAACCTTCTAAAGGCTCTGTAGCCGTAGGCTGTTACTACCGCTATACAGGTTATTAATATCACACTAAGCTAGGCCCTCGATAGAGATAGCCCTTATATAGTAGTTGCTAAGGAACTCGGCTAGTTACGTAAGCAGCTACATATTCGATACCTGCGCGCCTATAGCTATATAGCTATTGTCTACGACTATAGTATAGCTCGTAGCAAGAAGTTTAACGCTCGCGGCAAGCTCGGCAAGCTAGTTAGCTATGCGAAGGACTCCGTAGACTTAGGTAAACACACAATCTACTTGCCTAACGAGCACAAGGTTGTTACCTCGAAGGATGTCTAATTTATTAAGTTAGGAGACGACAAGTTGTCGCTTCCGGAGGGCGTTAAGCTATATACCAATCCTAACAACCCGTCTAAGAGCCGGTTTATAACTATTAAGTTAGTTATGCTAGCCTTGTTTAATACGACAACGAGTAAGGCACCGAAGGCTACAGAAGTAGCTAGTGTTATTTAGCAACTTCTAGCTTAATAAGAGGTCCCTATAGAGCAACTTAATATACCGCTAGTAGATAAGGTAGTTAACCTACTACTAACGGAAGACGATATGCCTAACATTCAACTATTAAGCGAGGAAGATAGCTTCCAATCTGCTAAGGAAGAGACACTATTTAATCTAAATGCTAAGAAGGGCGAGCCTAGCTAGTTGCTAGAGTTTGAGCGACTAAATACCGCAGGCGCTCGTTTAATACGTACTACTCGAAGCAACAAGTTAGCACGAGAGCTATTGCGTAGCTATCTAGCCGATGCTAGCGTTAATCGATTAACGCGCCGTAACCTAGCTAATATACTAATAGCCTATGTAAAGGGCTTTATAGCTGCCTATTATATCGCTAAACAGGCCGATAATCCTGCTAACGATATTCCTATTCTAAAGAGCTTTAAGGCTACTAAGGAATTACTATACTAGCTACAATAGAAAGAGGCCTATAAGGCTAAATACAAGTCACTTATCGACAACGCAACCTAGGTCTACGTTGCTAAGCAAGAAGTACCTGTAGGCCGCAAGGTTGTCCGTAGTAGATAGGTGTTTACTATTAAGCGTAATGCTAATAGCAAGATTAGCCGTTTTAAGGCCCGTTAGGTTGTAAAGGGCTTTACTTAAGTTAAGGGTAAGGATTATAATAAGACTTATACCGCTATTGCTGAGCTACTAACTCTTCGAGCCCTGTTCGCCCTTATTGCTTATTATAACCTAGAAGCTTAGCAGTTTAATATTCTTACTGCCTTCTTAAACGCTATAATTAGCGACAAGCACAAGATCTACGTTAAACAACTATACGGCTTTGAAGACTGTAGTAGCAAGGGCATGGTTTGCCTATTACTAAAGGCTCTATATAGCTTAAAGCAGTTGCCTATACTACAGCACGAAGAGCTCCGTAAGTACTTGAAGAGCCTTAATTTTATCCCTATAATAAGCGACGTACATGTGTTTAAACACACGCTTAGCAACTCAATTATCGTCATTTACGTAGATAATATAATTATTATTGCACACTTAATAGCTGCTTTATAGGCAGTCGCTTAACTGCTAAAGGATCGCTTTAATATGCGAGAACTTAGTAACCTTTACTACTATCTCGGTATGCGCATTATTCGCAATCGCAAGGACCGTACTATCTATATAGTATAGGACGCCTATCTAAACCGGCTTAGTAAGAAGTACGGTATATAGGGCCGTATAGCTCCTACTACTCTAATAGCTCTACGCTATATCAAGTCGGCTATTTAGCGTACGCCTAAGACCTATATAGCTAGTGCTACCTTCAAGACTAAGTACTAAGAGGGCATTAGCGAGGCTCTATAGCCGGCAATAATTACTCGACCGGACGCTTATTATACCGCCGGTTTGTTATTACGCTTTGTCGCTAATCTAACTAAGGAACACTATTACGCGCTCCTATAGCTTATTAAGTACCTAGTTAGCACTCTTAGCCGCGGCATGCGCTTCTAAGGCACGTAGAGCGATAATAAGCTTAATCTCGCTAGTTACTACGATGCCTTATAGGCTAATAACCCGGTTACTCGCCGCTCTACTAGCGGCTTCTACTTTACTCTAGCTAGCGGGCTGTTATTACACAAGTTAGGTCGCTAGACGCTAGTTACTCTGTCTTCTATAGAAGCTAAGTATATTCAATTAATAACCGGCGCTAAGGAAGCCGTTACTCTAGCTCGGTTGTTAGAGGAGATTGGTTATAAGGGCACTATTAAGCCTATTACGCTATACGAGGACAATTAGTCCGCTATTGCTATTACTTAGTCGACGAGTATTAATAGCCGCACTAAACATATAGATACTCGAGTATACTATATCCGTAAGAAGATCGCTAACGGTACTATAACCGTTACCTAGATTAGCACTTACGATTAGATTGCTAATAGCTTTACTAAGCCGCTTAATAAGCTTAAGCACGCTCGCTTCGTTAAATAGTTAAACTTAGTAGATTATAAGGCCGCTATTAAAGGCGCCGCTTAGCCTGCTACTAAGTATTAAATAGATAGAAGACATGCTTATTGTCTAGTTTAACTACTGTCTATTTAAACCCCTTGTTTGCTTTGTTTGGCTGTATGCACGCGATAAGGGGGTGACTTGAAGAGTGTGTATAGTATAGTATTACGTGCATAATGCCTCAGGCTGCAACTGCCGCACTTCTTCTTCCGACTTTCTCGTAGATAGTCTCTCTCGAATACATCAGTTACATTCAAGTGTGGCTCGTGTGTCACAATCTTGGTGAAGCCATCGTCGTCCGGGAAGAAATCGCCTGCTTGCTTGTCTGTCCAGCCACTGAAGTACAAGATACAATTTTTGATATACGTCTTCTCCCGAGTGGGAATGATGCTGGTGGGGTTGCCACTTGTCAAGCTGTCGAGGCTGAGGATGGGCACGATCTCCTCTTCCATAAGCGCAGCCAACCTATGAAGGCACTCTGTTCGGTGTAAGGCTGTGAATTTGCTCCATTCTCCTTTGAAAGCAGCCTCAGCAGCAATCACAGCTCGTTCGACATCTTCGTCGTTGGCAATCGGCACTGCATTGCAGACCTCGGAATTGTTCTTTGGGTTCTTCAAAGCATACGTCTTTCCCGATGACGAATTGACATATTCGCCATTGATGTATAGCTTTGTGAAGTCCGCTGGATTGTACTTGGCCATGATAGAACTCTCTCCGGAACGCGCTACACAAGGGTCGATTGTAGAGCAGTGATTGTAGTGTAGACTATACGGCACTGCAACCCTTAGGCCTCCAGGTATTGATTGATGGCGGGGTTGAGGAACGGTTGGCTCTAGCGCAGGTACCTATTGAGCTCTAGAATATGCCACCGACCACTTCTGATGCGGAGTTGCTTGGTATGCTTCCCAGTGAAAGACCTTGTTACGGTCCACGGAACAAGGAGGAAGCAGTCAAGGGGCTAGCTAACTAATGGAGGAACGGCTACCTCTGCAATTAACCTTCCTCCTCTATATAATCATCTACAATCAGAACTTCATAACAGACCTAGTGCTTCACGATGCAGCCGTTTTGATGCTCTTCATCGCATGAAATTGGCCCCAATCGACACTCTTGATCTTCTGCCGAAACTGTGCAAGACCATGCTCACCCTCCGAGCCCGGCTGCATCATGCCTGCAAACACTTTGGTCACGAAGTGTTGCTGCTCTGCTCCGCCAGGATCTCTCCATCCCAGTCTGACAAGCTGCTTACACGCTGCTGCAGACCGAGGCGCACATTTCCTCAAATCCCGAAGATATCGGGAGGTCAATTCCTGCAGGTCTTGCGAGCTCGAGGCCGTGCCATGAACGACTCCAATTCTGTGCAGTTCGTCGGGCTTGACTTCTCGCCCAGCCAGCATTGCTTCGCGCAGGAATGGGATGCCCCATTCCCGAATCATGTATTTCGAGATGATTGCGGGAGACAGACCGAGTTGGATTTCGGTCATCGTAAAGCGGGCATTCGAGGAGAGGAGACGGACATCGCAGACAAAGGCTAAGCCAACACCTCCCCCATACGATGGACCATCCACCACAGCAATCGTGGTTTGTGGTGCATGGTCGATTGCCTCGTACAGTGCTTCGACTTTGCCGTAGTATTCTGACTTCTCAGCGGGATCATTTGAAGCACTTGCTCCACCGCCACTCAGGTCCATGCCTGTGCAGAAGTATTTGCCCTCGGCATCCAAAATGATGTGGAAAACTGTCGGGTCGCTGGCGAGATCCTTGAATGTTCTTGTGATTCCTTCCACCATGTCGTTCGTCAGAGCAGTACCATTCTTCGCCCTGGTCAACGTGATTCTGACAGCATGGTCGGCCCTTTGCACCTTGTAGTCCCCGGCGTCCCGGAGCAAGGACCACTCGGGACTCTTGACGACGTGGTTTTCCTGTTTGGAAACGGCAGTGTTTTCCTTGGATTGGCTCTTTGCGACCACAGCCGATCCTGCCCTGCTATTGTTGGGGATGCCGATTTCTTTCGAGATCCAGTCGCCGATTTCTGACAATTGCTGCAAGTCGATTCCTGTGGGGATTCCAGCTTTCTCGAAGGTGTATACCATGTCTTCTGTCGACAGATTTCCCTTCGCACCTTTCGCGTAGGGGCATCCTCCAAGTCCGGCGACGCTGCTGTCGAATGCTCGAAGTCCCATTTCGTACGACTTGACCACGTTGGCGATGGCTTGGCCATACGTGTCGTGATAGTGACCAGCAAGCTTTTCTGCTGGGATCTCAGCGAGCAGCACACGAAGCAGCTCCTCGATATCATGCGGCGTGGCCACGCCAATCGTTTCGCCAAGGCCAACCTCATAGCAGCCCATCTCTAGGAAACGCTTTGCGACATCCAGGACTTGCTTCGGATCTGTGGGACCATCATAAGGGCAAGCAACGACGCAAGATACCACGCCACGTGCTCGAATGCCATGAGCTTTCGCCGCCTTTACGATTTCTTCGGCCCTTTGGAGAGCATCTTCAATTGAGCAGTTGGTGTTCTTCCAGCTGAAGCCTTCTGACGCCGATGCGAAGACAACCACCTCCCTTGCCTGGTTCTGTACTGCTCGTTCCAGACCTTTCATGTTGGGAGTCAGCACAGGTAGCCAGACCCCCAGGGGCTCTCCGATCGCTTGGGCCGCTTGGAGGACTTCCTGGCTGTCAGCTAATTGTGGGATCCATTTGGGTGACACAAAGGAAGTGGCTTCGATATTTCGAAGCCCAGTATGTGCAAGGCGACGGATCAGCTCAACTTTCGTTTGCGTAGGGACTTGTGCTTTGATGTTCTGTAAACCATCGCGTGGCCCAACTTCCAGTATTCGCACAGCAGACGCCTTGTTTACTGCCGCAGCATTCACGGAGTGGTGACGGAACGAAACGGAAGCGCTTCCTCGTCTTACACTGCGTGTTTGACGGAGCACGCTACATCTCAGACTGGCCGCCATACTGTCCAGGAAGTCGAGGTCCTGCTCGCCCCTGGAAAGCCAAAGGTCCCATCTCGAAGACGAGAGCGAGGTCGACGATGGGGGTTGGTTCTGATTGTCCGCATTCATGCCAGGAACTTCTTTGGCATGGGTCAGCTTCGGTTCACTCGGCAAAGTCTGTCTCCTTTCAGAAGCTCCGTGGATGCCTCAGGTTCTGCCAAGGAACCGGCTCCAGCGGAGCGTCTGACGACAAACAGTAGGAAGCGACTATATACACTATAACCTGCCATTCTATTAGATAGCATTTAATATATAACTTTATATATACACAAGTTCTCGCAAATGTCTCTTTAGCGGGTTATACATTTTACGATAGTATATAGATAGATAGATATTTCATTCGCCTATTATAGTGCCTTTCGGCCTATATAGGTCTATTTCTATGTATTGTTTTAGGTAGGAAACCAACTTAGTTAGTAAAAACCTCCCTCCTGTCCTATTTATAAGTATTAATCTTCCTTGTTTTCTTGTTCTCCTTCCTTTAGGGTGCACTAGTATTATAGTTGTTACTCTCTAACTACCTTGCCTACTACCTTGCCCTTCTTTCCCCCTCTTCTTCCCTCCTTCTTATCTACTCCTTAGTTTCCCTTACTAGTGCGAATTGTTATATAAATCCCTATTTAATAATCCACTTTACTATCCTCTTTAGGTCTTCTTTGCTCTAGATTAGCTTATCGTATTCCCTTTCTATTGCTTTTAGTCTCTAATTACTTCTGCCTTCTAACTATTAAGGGTAGACTAGCAGTATATACTTAGGGTTCTAAGATTAGTAGCTATATTAGCAAGCCCTGCTTTTAATTCCTAGGACGTTTCTTCTAAATAGGTAAGATCTAAATCTAATATATTTAGATCTGATTTGGATAGCTAGGCTTACCTCGGCCCTGTTTAGGTCCTTATAGAGCTAGTAGTTGTATTAACCAAATTTGATTAGTGCCTTTAGGGTTCCTAGTCTAACTTGTGTTTTGTTCTATTCCTGCTCCTATAGGTATCTAGTAATTGATTCTGCTAAGCTTTGTTTCTCTCCCTTTGGTTTGTCTTCCTTTAGCCTTATATTTGGTCCCTAAAGCTCTTTCTCTAGTATTTCTCTTATTAAGACTCTATATTGCTCTAGGTCTTTGACTTTTTAGGGAGTTATTTATAGTCTGTCTCGCCTCCTAGTCCTAATGCACTAGGCTTTTATCTTGTCTAGTGCCTTTTAGATAGTCTATTAGGCTAGGTATTCTATTATCTTTGCTGCATATTAGTGTCTTAGTCCCTTAAAGTATTGTTTAACTAGTAGGATCCCTAATTCTATTTCTACTACCCTTATTAGTATAGTTTTGTATACTCCTAGGATTTTCTTTAGGCTTTAGGTTTAGGACCTGCTAACTGGTTGTTTAATCCTCTTTAGTGTTTTCTCCTAGGCTGTCTATATCTGTGCTCTATATAGCATTGCTAGTTTGACAATTGCTTTGTATATAACTTTAGCTTTCTCGAATGTAGCCCCCTATATAGAGGCTATAAGCCTATTAATAGACTGTATATTAGCATCTGCCCTCTGCTTTGCCTTCTTTACTTGTAGTCCCTAATTCAGTTTTAGATCTAGCTAGATCCCTAGTACCCTAAGCTCTGCTAATAATTAGGTTTCAAAGCCTTAGATAGTAATTGATTGCTTTATATTGTAGGTTGATTTAGCCTTACTAAAGTAGATAAGTTAGTACTTTTCTAGGGCGAATTTTGCTCTATACCTCCTTACCTATTTTTTATACTCCTAGTGCTTCTCTTCTAGGATCTTGTAGTTAGTTTCTGTTGTCTTAGACTAGGCTAGGATATTCGTATTATCTACAAACCCTAATGCTAATATATTTTTTAATTCTAGGAGTAGGAGTAGGTCTACTATAAAGATAAGGAAGAGGATTAGGGAGAGTGTTGATCCTTAGGGGATTCCCTTTTTAGTTAGCATTAGGTCTGATTTGAATTTGCCTAGAATAAGCTGTATTAATCTTTCCTATAGGAAGGACTAGATGAATTGGACTATCCAGTTTAGTATAGCTTTCTGTTTAAGTATATATAGGAGCCTTTTATAGGAGACATTGTTAAAGGCTCCTAAGATATTAAGGGAGAGGAGGGTTACTACCTAGTTTTAACTATAGTACTAGATATGCTTGATCTATTCTATAATTAGTTCTATAGCTATTAGTATTAACCTCTTCTTTCTTCCTCCTATCTAGCCTTTAGGAAGGATGTTCCTTTCCTCGGCAAAGGTTATTAGCCTTTTAGCGACAATTTTTTCTAGCACCTTGCCTATTATATTAAGTAGGGCTATTAGTCTGTAGGCCTTAAGCTGTATATAGTCTTCCTTCTAGGGCTTCCTTAGCACTACTGTTAGGGACTTCCTAAATGGTCTTAGATAGTGTCCTAGTGCTAGGCTTTATAAAAAGATATTAGCTAGTACTAGGGCTAGCCCCTTCCTATATGCTTTTAGAAGTTTATTATAGATCTTGTCTTCTCCTAGTGCCTTATTGCCTAGAATTTTCTTTAGGATCTTTTCAATAGTTTCGGGTTTAACCTAGGTGTCTCTTAGTGTGCCTAGTAGTAGAGTCTCTTATTCTATCTCCCTTATATCTGATAGGTCTGCTTATACTTTTCTATAGAAGAAGTGTTGGCCTAGGGCTCTTACTTTCCCTTCTATTGTAGTCTATATTTGTCCTTATTAGTCTATAATGTCCGGGAATTGTAGTAGTATATCCTTATCCTATTTAGGTCTCCTTACCTATTTAGCTATCCTCTATATCTCTTCTAGTTTCTTTATAATTATTCCTATTATAGATCTCTATTCTTATATCTTGTCTTTCTTAATCTGGATCTTCTTTTCCTAGTAGGCTTTGTTATAGTTGTCCTATGCTTCCTAGGTATAGGTTTGTATCTACTGCCTCCTAGCCTTCCTTGCTACTTTAACCTTCCTTATATATTTACTAGTCTAGTATAGTTGCTAGTATAGTGAATGTTTCTTTGCTAGGGTATGCTTTCTAGCTACCTGTTTTAGGATTCCTGTTAGTTCTTCTACTGCTTTGTTAATGTCCTCTAGCCTTAGTAGGTACTTTGTTAAAAGTTCCTCTAGTTTTAGGTCCCTTTCTAGTTCCTCCTTAATCCTGCCCTATTAGGTACCCTTCTAGTTGAGCTTCTCCTCTAGTTCCCTTTCCTAATTGGCTTAGACATTTAGTTCAATCTATACCGGGAAGTAGTCTAATAATTCTTCTAGTTCCTAGTTGATCCTATATCTTGTAATCCTATTCCTAATCTAATGTAATATAAAGCATAGGTCTAGTGTGCTGCTACTTCCTCTTGCCTCCTAAGTAATTAGTCCCTTTAGGGTAACAATTTCTATTTCTTCCCTCTCTAATATATTAATTAGTCTTCCTACTAGGAAGTAGTAAGCTAGGGTAAAGTCTAAGCCCTAGAGGGGATAGTAGAGGTTGAAATCCCTAAGTAGGATTTAGTAGGTGTTCCCCTAGATAACTCTAGGTAGTCTTTCTAGGGTTTTTAGTTAGGTACTGCTTCTTAAGTCTAGTAGTGGGTTATATATATAGTAGACTTAGAGTGTACCTTAGGATGTCTCTACTTAAACTAATATTAGGTCCCTATCCTCCTATAGTATAGCCTGCTAGGTTTCTGTATCTATCTCCTTACTAATATATATATATGTCCTTAGGGCTCCCTAGTTGTGGATAATTAGGTAGTATCTTAGGTCTTTAACTATTGCTAGTCTCTTTATATATAGGTTGAGCTAGGGCTCTTAGATTGTAATAATGTAATGTTCTTTTAGGTTTAGTGCTTAAAGGAAGCTCCTTTGTACCTTGTCTTTGCTCTTATTAACATTATACTATATAATGTTTAGTAATGTTGCAATATTCATTAGGTTTTATCTATATTATTTCCCTATAAGTTTTCCTTTAGTCTTCCCTTACTTTAGACTAACATTTGACTAAGCTTTGTCTACCCTGCTTCCTTTCCTATAATATTAAGGTATCTTAGTCTCCCTAGTTGTTAGTAATTCTCTTATACTAGTAAGGCCCTAAATGTGAACCTATTATCTTGTCTAGACCTCTTTTATAGTACTTAGCTAGGTTGCTTCTGTACCTAGCTGCCCTAGCTTATTGTATATCTTTTTAGTGTATTAATTCTAGCTTCCTTTGCCTTCCTCGCTGCCTATATTCTTACTAGGCATTCCTTCGCCTAAGAGGGGTGTCTTTTAGTGCAGTATATACATCTTACTTCTCCCTTGTATGCCTTGTATTCTTTAACCTAGTAATCCCCTATATAATAGGAGCAGGTATTGGTTGTCTTTATACACTTAGCTACTAAGTGTCTATAGTATTAACATTTGAAGCACTGCATTATCCTATAGTTGCTTCTATATATCTCTGTTTCTAATCTCTTATAGTCCTAGAACAACCCCTAGTCTAGTACTATATTAGCTTGCTCTATACTCCCTACCTAGATAATTAGGGAAGACTGCTTCTTAGTCTCTTCGATTTTCCTTTTAATCTATGCTACTTTTGTAATCTTTAGGCCTAGGTATATAGCTTAGTTTTGTCTCTATAGGCTCCTAATATCCTGTTCTTCCTTAAAGCTTCTTGTTATACTATAGGCTATAATTATAAATTGTTGTTAGGAGACCTTTGCTGTTTTCCCTATCTTAGTTGTCTATTCTTTTTGTGTTTCTAGCTTCTTTTTGTCCTGCTCTTGTACTATAAATAGCTTGATTACCCCTTTTCCTTCGTTCCTAGCCCTAATTACCTCTTTAACTGCAATTCTTTCTACAATCTCTTTCCCTATAAGTCCTTAGATTTCCTTTTGCTCTTATAGGTCCGTAATATAGACTCTAACTACTGTCCTCGGGGGTTTTAGCGCCTCCTAACTAGCTACTACTACCTAGGTGCGGTAGTTTAGGCTTGTTTCCTATTGTTTCTTCGTAATCTTTGCTGCGACTATATTAGCTACCTTTATAATTACGTAGCTTGCCTAGTTGTAGATTGCTTTTAGTCCTCTAAGGAGTTCTAAGATTATTATCCTATATGCCCTTTTAG